TTCCTCATTGTCCATGAAGTTGAGCACTCACAGTATGTCCTCAGTATTTCAAGTTAAATGATACAGAGGTGGAAAGGAATTATTGCAGGGGACAGTGCCAGAGAGTATTGCACTATACAGAGAGGCTGTACTTACCATAATGGTAATAGTGGGGTAATGCCTAGGGTTGGAGGGATAAAAGGGGAGCACCCAGATTAAATTATAAAGTGCAATTATACTTTTGGTGAGAAAAGAACAAAAATGTCAAAAGAGTGTCTCTAGTGTTAGATTTTTCTGTATAATGATAAATATATATATTCATTACTTTTTTACATTTTTATTTATCTTATCGTTTACTTTTTTTATTTTTTATAATTATTATTGTTTATTTTTTAGAATTATTTTCTTATTTTTTTAATATTTGTTTCTTATTATTTCTTACTTTTTAATCACCTGTTTATTTTTTTTATTTAATTATTTCTTCTTATTTTTTTATCATTTTTTTATCATTTTTTTTCCACTTAACTTTATTGTTTCACACAGGAGCTAACAATCTCCTATGTGATAGCAATTGGAGGTGACAGGTTCTCTTTATTGAACCCGTCACCTCCAGGACAGGAGTTCTAGCACTGTGCTAGAACTCCTGTGACGGCTCTCCCCTCTCACTATACGAAGCGGCAGGATTACTTTTAACCCTATCGCTCTGCTCACCGCATCAGCAGCAGCTACTCGGAGCAGAGACTCCTCGGCGGCTGGGGGCTGCAAACTTATTACAAGTGATCTCGGCGACATCGCCGAGATCACTTGTAAACGTACACGGTGCACGGTGCACCTCCAGTAGACAATACGGTTTCAATACAATTCAGTAGATGAGGACTGAACACATAAAACAAAGCACTGTAAATGGAGTGAATAAAAGTTAACCGTCATGGTTTATATACAGTATATGTTGAGTCTTCTCCAGATGTTCCATGTGTTTCATACATGTGACAGATGACCCTCAGGCAGTGACAGTGACAAGTTACCTATAATGTGTTAGAAATCCCCTGTATATTAATTATGCCGTTTGTCAGGTTTGACCTCCTATCTACTTTTCTTACAGCTTCTAAACAACAAATTCCATCAAGTATAACACATGCAGCATTTTCCTTTTCGTCTCCCAGATCAGACTTTATCTTTATACTATTTTTCATAATAGCATTTTGTATGTAAAAGTCAATACTCAAAAACCTTTGCATGTTTCTCAACCCCTAAAGTGGATCTAAACCCAAAAATAAAAATGTCATATATTAGGGATACACCGGTACCGGTATTTCGATATTGAGTACACGTACAGATAAAAAAAATTTGGTACTCGCCGATACTGAATTCAGCCACGAAGTGGTAGGCCACGTCAAATGACAGAGCGGGGTCAGCGCATGCTGAAGCGCACTGTGCACAGAAGTCTCCAACTGTCTGCAGAGTCAATAGCTACAGACCTCCAAACTTCGTGTGGTCTTCAGATTGGCATAACAACAGTGCGTGGAGAGCTTCATGGAATGGGTTTCCATGGCCAAGCAGCTGCATCCAATCCTTACATCACCAAGTGCAAAGCGTCGGATGCAGTGGTGTAAAGCACGCCGCCACTGGACTCTAGAGAAGTGGAGACGTGTTCTCTGGAGTGACGAATCACACTTCTCTGTCTGGCAATCCGATGGACGTGTCTGGGTTTGGCGGTTGCCAGGAGAACGGTACTTGCCCGACTGCATTGTGCCAAGTGTAAAGTTTGGTGGAGGGGGGGATTATGGTGTGGGGTTGTTTTTCAGGGGTTGGGCTTGGCCCCTTAGTTCCAGTGAAGGGAACTCTTAAGGCATCAGCATACCAAGACATTTTGGACAATTTCATGCTCCCAACTTTGTGGGAACAGTTTGGGGATGGCCCCTTCCTGTTCCTGTTAATCATGGCTCCCCGCAGGCATTCATCCCCCCCCCCTCCCCTCACTGATCCTCCAGCGCTGACTGGAGGAATGGACGGGGGACGGGGCAGGTACAGCTGGCTTTGTCTCTAGATAGGCAGAGCCAGCTGTCACTCACACAGCTGGGTGGATCTCGACAGCACCAGTGCACAAAGCAAGGTCCATAAATACATGGATGGGGGAGTTTGGGGTGGAGGAACTTGACTGGCCTGCACAGAGTTCTGACCTCCACCTGATAGAACACCTTTGGGATGAATTAGAGCGGGGACTGCGAGCCTGGCCTTCTCGTCCAACATCAGTACCTGACCTCACAAATGTGCTTCTGGAGGAACGGTCAAACATTCCCATAGACACACCCCTAAACCTTCGGGACGCCTTCCCAGAAGAGTTGAAGCTATTATAGCAGCAAAGGGCGGGCCAACTCAATATTGAACCCTACGGACTAAGACTAGGAGGCCATTAAAGTTCATGTGTGTGTGAAGACAGACGTCCCAATACTTTTGGCAATAAAGTGTATATGTAAATTTAAAATAAAATAAGTATATATTTTTAAAAAATTAGATTTCGCTCATTTAGGGTTTACATCCTCTCTGAGGTTTTATGAAGGCATTTAAAACCTTAGAGGCATGGTGGGGGCGTGACGTATTTCCAGTACACGCCGGACTTAATGTCAAGAAATTCTGTGGAAAGAAATGTATAAAGTGCAGTAAATGTACACATTCCAAATATCTCACCTTCTGTACAATGGAATGGTAATAGTAGTAACAGATATGTTTGTGTGGGGCGGGGGGGGGAGGGGGGTATGGTTGTCCTCTAATTATTTAATTATTCCTGCATAAGTGAACCTGCCAGTTCTCGGTCACAGCAGTGACAGGCCTCGGGGGGTGACTGGAGGGGGTGATTAGAAGTGGAATTCAGCTTTTTGGATAACGTAGTGTGGGGAGCTGTCGCAGTTTGGCATCACTGTCAACATCTGAGAACTTCAAAGAACCAAAACCGTTCTGAACTCCAGGCAAATAGCTAAATATGCAGATATGTGGCAGCTGCTTTACCTGACTAATAATTTGTACTTCTGTTCATCTTGCCTGAGATTTACACAGCTCAGTCACATAGTGCAGCCTTGTCTGGCGAGGACCGGATTTTTCTCTGTTGCAGTTCATTAACACTTACAGGTCTTGTTCCTCCCCAGCCTGTGACTAGACAGTAAAAGGGGAAGCAGCAGACGGAGGAGCTCACCTCTCTGTCACTCCTTCTGTCAGCCTGCATTTAAAAAATAGAATTGAATTAAGTATTAAAAGAGAACTGTGGGGTAACCTTTTTATCCAAAAGTTCTCTAAAGGGTCCTCCCGTGACCCAAAGCTCAGTATATTGCGAGCTGCAGCGAGCTGCATACTGAGGCTGCCGCAGCCGGGACGGATCCCGACAATGCTGTCGAGATCCATCCAGCTGTGTGAGTGACAGCTGGCTCTGCCTATCTAGAGACAAGGCCAGCTGTACCTGCCCCCTCCCCCGTCCATTCCTCCAGTCAGCGCTGGAGGATCGGTGAGGGGAGGGGGGAATCCCTGCGGGGAGCCGTGACTGAGAGTCTCCGCTCTCTGCAGGGACATGATCGGGAAGTGAGCGAGCGATGGTATGTGTTCGCTCACTTCCTGATCTGTTGAACCGACATATGACAATTTCATTGTCACACGTCGGCTTGAACTATGAGTATTTTCAAACACCTCATAGTTCTCCTTTAATGATTTGGAGCTACAATAATGTGTATGTTTTACAGTATATCTGCCGGAGTTCAGAGGCTGACCAACTTTGTGCCCATTCAAGCACTGGCCATTATACCAAACGAATGACTTAACCACCAAGTCCTCACACATTGTTCCTTATCTTATCATGCCCTGATGGAGAGGCACCCGATACGTGTTGGCTTTACACACATCTTCCATCTCATTATAAATTGGAATAAACTTCTATCTGGACTATAACATCCCGCGGTGGTACTTTAATGATAGATTTACTGATGAAAGAAATACACAGGCTGCCATTGTTGACCTTCTTTTGAAAATGCTAGTGGGCTGTCTGTCATTGTTGATCTACAGTATCAGCACCAATTCAGAGATGATTGGAGGATATACAGCTGAGTGATACACACATAAGATAATTTTTTGTTAATATTTGAGGTACTTGAATGTATTTTTAAGATTTAACTCCTGAGTTTAGTGTCACTTTATCTGTACTATCACTACTCTGACTTCTCTGTTCTACTCATACACTCCCATCTCTGACTCCCAAAACTCAACGCCTCTGATCTATTTAAACCCCTAGATTGGTGGGTCCCCCTTACGGAGGTTAAGTGCATCACATCCCTTCCCACCAAAGGAGTAGGAGTGCCTTACAACTATATAAAGGGTAGGGATGCACTGGTACTAGTATCTGTATCGGTGCCAATACCGAGTATTTGGGTGAGTACTTATACTTGCCCAAATGCTCCAATACCTTCCCCGATACCGTAATTTCCGGTCAGGGGAAGACTTCCTCTGACTGGTGGTGCCGAAGGGGGAACATGGAGCTGGCATCCTGGGCAATCAGCAAGTCAGGGGCCGAAGAATGATCCGCCTTCCGAATTGGCTGGGAAGCCGACGCCATGCTGATTGGTTGGGAAGCCAGCTTCCCGGCCATTCAGCATCATGCTGGCTGAACAGCATGGAGTCGGCTTCCTAGCCGGGTCATTGTTGGCCGGGCAGCTGGCTCCATGCCAGCAGAAGCACTGGTATCAGTACTTTGTATCGGCGAGTACCGAAAGCAAAATATCGGTACTCGTCATCCATGACACATCTGTTCACCAATCATTACTAAGCTTTTTAATAAGCACTACTGGGGAGGGGGGGCTGGTGTCCATTGTTTAGAATCATTCCTTCTGGCCAAAATGGAGGGAGAGTGTCATGCCTAGGGGATGTGATCTTCCTTAAAGTCAGTTCTCCTGGCAGAGATGAAGCTGGTTTCCCGGCCAATCACAATCGAGCCAACCAAACAACATGGAGCTGGTTTCCCGGGCAACCAAGAATTGCATAGCATGTCATTATCCGCCGCCCGGTTCCTGATGGCCCGGGAAGCCGGCTCCATGCCAGCGGAAACACCGGTATCGTTACTCGATATTGGCAAGTACTGAAAGCAAAATATCGGTACTCATACTCTATACGGAAAAAACGGTATTGGTGTATCCCTAATAAAGGGAAAACAACCAAAAATTGCACATCAAATAAATAAGTGAAAACACCCACAATTACCCTTTTTTGTGTTATAAATGGCACTGCACACATCCACCACTCCACCATTCTTAAGCATATGGTAATGAAGTGGTTAATTTTCACATCAATGTTTTCTAACAATAGACTTGGATAGACTGGGGATGGATTAGACCCATCCCCAGGGTTTCATTACTTGCAAATAAATCAAATCCTAGACCGATCAAACCAAAATCACACCAACAGGTTACTGAAGTGAAGAATAAATATGGCTACAAGGCCAGAACGGTGATACGTGTAGATCCAAAGAAAGTCCATGAACCCATCGCACTCCTGACCATTTGTTCCATGAGAATTGGATAGCTGCTGCGGTGGTCAACGGATGGCAACCGCCAGGGCCGGATTTACTCTCTCTGCTGCCCAAGGCCAGGTTTCTCAATGCGCCCCCCTACCTGCCTGGAACTGCATGACCTGGGCATTGGGAGATAGGAGTTCCACACCCCTGCTGCCCTTCTACTCCCTGCTGCCCTGAGGCCGGGCCTTGGTTGGCCTTGTGGGAAATCCGGCCCTGGCAACCGTTATGTACACAGATAGAAGTAGGGACTGCATCTGGAGTGCCGGTGTCCCTACTTCTAACCGTGTAGATCCAATTACCAATGGGAGCCAACACACCAAGAATCACATCCACGTTTACTGAGGTCCCAGGTCAACAAACCAACATCTCTGAGACACAGAGGACCCCATTATCACCCATCACCTTGACAAAGGGGACCTCATTGGATGTGATCCTTGGCGTTTTGGCTTCCATTCTTTATTAGGTTTTTATGATGTCAGTTTTTTGTTTATTTTTCCTTCCCAACGACATTGCTGCCAGCCATAAAAGCTCAACAGAAGTTCTATCCAATCCCCACTCCATCCAAAACAAACCAAAGTTTAAATTATTGCACTACTTTCTTAAGGCAATGGCACATTTTTTGTTTGTTTTACCATCAGTGTTATTTTAGTAAATATCCTCTTTGTGCTCACTCAGCATTGTTGCTGGAGGGGTGTCTATAACTTGTACTGGCGTGTCAGCTGTGTCACTGTTATTATGTACCGGTGAACGCTGCACATCTCCTATTTAACCTGTGTGCTCAGGTGTGCCTCGTTGAAAATTCTGGTCTTTTCAGTCTATTCATACCGCTCCGGGCATTCTATACGTGGAGGACTGCGGAAGAATCACAACACGCAGCTACACAGGAAAGAGCTTCCACTCTTGTGTCTTCCAGAGACGGAGAAGACAGGAAAACGTAAGTATTTTATATAAGACCTCGAGAGTCATAAGTTGCAGAATCCATCAGAAGTATCCTGTGATAATCTCACAAATACAAGTGAAGTAGAATTGTATGGAGATGTCTAGAAAGTACAGACAAAGTAGCCGAGGGACAGACACAGGACGCCTTACTAGGCAGGTAATCCTTCCACTTCACCAGTATATGAATGAAACAACCGACACAACGTGGAAAGGAAATATTATATACACCCTGTGCACAAAGAAGAACAAATATTTTTTGAAGCAAATAGGGATCGGTACAAATCTTTATTCTTAACCTTCCTTCGTTCCTTCCTTCTTTCCTCCCTTCCTTCTATCCTTTTTCCCTTAATTGCTTCCTTCCTTCCCCTTCCTGCTTTTGTTACTTCCTTCCTTTCCCTTTTTTCTCCCCTTCTTCCTTTTCTTCTTCCTTCCTTTCCCTTCCTTCCTAACCCTCTTTCCTTCCTTGCCTCCGTTCTTTTTCCCCTTCCTTATTTTCTTTCGTTCTACCTTCTTTCCTTCCTTGCATCCTTCCTTCCCCTTCCTGCTTTTCTTCCTTCCATCTTTCCCTTTTTTCTCCCCTTCTTCCTTTCTTTCCTTCTTCCTTCCTTTCCCTTTCTTCCTAACGATCTTTCCTTCCTTTCCTCCTTCCTTTCTTCCCCTTCCTTTTTTCTTCCTCCCTTCCTTTCCCTTCCTTCCTTTCTTCTTAACCTCCTTCCTTCCTTTCCTCCCCTGCCTTCTTTCCTTAATTGCTCCCTTCCTTAACCTTCCCGCTTTTCTTCCTTCCTTTCCCTTTTTTCTCCCCTTCTTCCTTCCTTTCCCTTCCTTCCTTTCTTCTTAACCTCCTTCCTTCCTTTCCTCTGTCCTTTCCTCCCCTTCCTTATTTTCTTTTCTTCAGCCTTCCTTCCCCTTCATTTTCTTCCTTCCTTTCACCTCCTTCCTTTCTCCCTAACCTCCTTCCTTCCTTTCCTCCGTCCTTTCTTCCTTTTCCTTCATTCTTTTCTTCCTTCCTTCTCTACCTTTCTTTTGTCCTTCCTTTCCTCGCTTGCTTCTTTCCTTCCTCCCTTCTTTACTTCCATGTTGCCACATGAGCACTGCAGCACAGCTGATTGGCTTCTTGTGCCGCTTCTCCCTCTCTCAGCCTGAGCCCTGTTGCATAGGGACTGCAAGAAGCTGATACCAAGTCAAATACAGGTAGTTACACTGCTTACAATTAGTCATGAATACATTTAGTGCTGTATTAATAACTACGGAGCTGCAATTCATGTCTTTATATCTGCTCTCACGTATACATATTCAAAGAATGATTTATATTTTTGTTTACTATTTACATCTAGGGTTATTCACAAAAGTGTGAAGAGTTTGGAGAAGGCGAATTGGAGAATGTTTCCATATCAGCTATTTTGTCCTAGATTGTTCACTTCTCCTGCCTTCTCCAAACTCTTCACCCTTTTGTGAATAACCCTGATAAAATGTTTATGGTGTTTTTTTAAAAAGAAGGAGCACAGAAGAAGCTGTTTGCTTTCAGAATGTTTCTCTCTCTAATTTAAAGTCTGTACAAAGCCATCTGGGGCAGATACGGTGGGAGAGAGAGAGGGAGGAATCACTTTACTGGGTATTCAGGTGGGTGTAACTTGTGCTTGGAGAATCGCAAATGTAAACAGCAGAGCAGTTAGGATTAGCCAGGTAAACATTTGTAAAGGATCTTAGATCTTCAGCTGATACAAATAATATATCCATATGTAATATTGTAATATTATGCATACTGTATATTTAGTAACTTATCAATTACATGTACCTAAGGGTAAATATATGTTATTACATTTATGTGCTGAACATGATAATGGCATACACAGATAACCATTATTACACAATGTAACTGTACCTGGTTTACCGCTAACAAGCAGGAAATAAAGAATGAGTAAAGACCTGCAAGTCTTTTTCTAATTATGATAATCCCTCCAGCTATTGTGTCATTGTGCCATTTCAAGGAATTTTTATGAAGGGAGAAATGTTGAAGAGGAAGATTAGATATTGTGGTTTATTGTAGATAGTCCGTGATTACTATTCTTCCTGTTGAGCAATAATTACTACAGTAGAGAATGTTAAGGGCTCGGCACTACATAATATGCCCCAAGGGGAGGCAGGCAGGCCGACCTGATTTTTCTCTGCTGCAACCTAGTTGCACTTACATGTCTTACAGGTCCATCTACCAGCCTATAAACTAATGAGTAGTACACAGAGAGGCTACATTCTCCCTTCTTCCTTTTCCTACCTTCTTGCCCTTCCTTTTTCTTGTCCTTTCTTCCTTCCTTCCTTTTTTCCCTTCCTTCCCTCCATCCTTCCTTTTTCTTTCCCTTTCTTCCTTTCCTCCCTTCTTCATTCCTTCCTTTTCCTTTCTTTCTGCCCTCCCCCCTCCTTCCTTCCCTTCCCTTTCTTCCATTCTTCCCTCCTTCATTCCTTTTTTTCCTTCATTCATTCCTTTTTTTCCCTCCCTCTTTCTTCACCTTCCTTCCTTTCTTCTTTCCTTCCTTTCCTTTCCTTCCTTACCTTTTCTTTCCCTTTCTTTCCCTTCCTTTTCCTTCCTTCTTTCTTTCCTTCCTTCCTGTCACTCTGTTCTTTTTGGTTATTAGACATGTAAAGCGGCAAAAAAATGATTTTGTTTCAGATTTTTTTTTCTTTCGGGTCTGAACTTCGGTTCGTTTTGTTATTCGGTTCTTTCAGAATATAATTTTAGCTTCGGACAGAGTTTTTTGATTGTCCAGAAAACAGTCAGCGTCCAATTTAGTTTCATTTTGAACGAAATTCGGATGATCCGAACTATCATTAAATGAATGTTCGGATTTGTTTGCATTCGGCCTCATTGGAATTTAGACGTTTGAATGCATCTGAATGTCCAAATTCTAGAAATGTTCTCCGGATTTGCATTCAGAAAACAAAATTTACATGTCTACCGGTTATAAGTATGCTCCTAGTTATTACATGTGCACTGCAGCAGAACTGATTGGCTCCTTGTGCTGCTTCTACCTCTCCCAGCCTTGTCTCTGCTGCATCAGGACTATAAATTACTTAAAATACTGTACTTATTTTAATTTGATAGGCAGAGCCAGCTGTCAATCACGCAGCTGGGTGGATCCAGACAGCAATGTCGGGATCCGTCCCGGCTGCGGCGGTCTCAGTATACCGCGAGCTGTAGCTCGCGATATACTAAGCTTTGGGTCACGGGAGGATGCTTGTTTATGTCCTCCCATGACCCATAGGAGAACTATGGGGGGAAACTCTTACCCCATAGTTCTCTTATAATACATCCATGGCACTGGTATTTCCTAAAGAGAGAGCCCAGCAGCAGCTGTTTGCTTTCGGAATGTTTCTCTCTCTTATTGAAATTTTGTACAGAGCCGTACAGGGCAGGGGGGTCTCATTTGTACTTGAACTATCACATGCAGTAAACAGCAGAGCAGTTAGGATTAGCCAGGTAAACATTTGAAAAGGATTTTTAGCTAATACAAATAATATATCCATATGCAATATTATACATATGTTAAGCATGTTATCAAATACATTCACTTAAGTGTAAAAAATAAATATATGTTTTATTTTTTTTAATGCTGGGCATAATAGATAAACTTTATTGGAAGTTAACATGCAACATTTGATAAGCGTAATACATTGATTGGACCTGGTTTCCATCTAACAAAGGTAACAACCAGGAAATAAGAAATGAATAAATAGCTGCAAGCATCTTCTTTTACAATTATGGAAATCCCTGTAGCTGCTACCTTATGCCCCCTTGCCATTGGAAGCAATGTTTACAACGGGGAGAAAAGTTGGCCAATCAGCAGTAGAAGAGGAAGATGTAATGTTGCCTTTATTGCAGGTAGTCCACGATTACTACTCTTCCTGTTTAACAGGTTTTACAGAAAAGAACGTCAATGGTGCGGCACTAAGTAATATAGCCCCGAGGGAAGGGCTTTGTGTGTGAGAAAACAGAAAGCGTATGTAGTATATAAAGAGCCTCCTCCATTGCACACTATGGCAATAGTTTTGCACATGTTTTTCAAGTTGTTTGGTTTGATTGGTAAATCTGTTGTAAGAGGGGAGAAGGAGGGTGACAGAGAAACAGATATATGGGGTATTTTTGTACTCAGCTCAACTTCTTGTTAAAGTCAATCTAAACCCGAGAACAGAAATAGTAACATTGCAGTTTACTGGTTCTTAAATGTGGTGGCTGCATTTGTTTTCTTTTAGGTTTTTTTCCTTTAATTTCACCTAGCGACCTTTATGGTAACACAATTCCCCTCCTAGGGTGACAACGCTCATTCACTGTACTCTATCAGGGTTATTCACAGAACGGTGAAGAGTTTGGAGAAGGCAGGAGAAGTGAACAATCTAGGACAACATAGCTGATTTGGAAAGATTCCCCAATTCAGTTCACTTTCCAGATCAGCTATGTTGTCTTAGATTGTTCACTTCTCCTGCCTTTTCCAAACTCTTCAACCTTTTGTGAATAACCCTGTATAAAGTCACCTAAAACAGGACAGAACTAATGCACCCCCCTTCTCTTCATAACTCCCTCCCTTGATAGAGGGGAGGTATTCTGTAGTCCACAAAGACAGCTGGGAACAATGCAACTGAAAACAGGCAGCACAAAGAGAGAACACAGACATCACCCGACAGGATCAACAGGTTTTTATTTTGTTTTTTTTTGCACAGATATAGTAAAACACTTTCAAATATATATTTAACAGACCAAAATGGATCATATAAGAGAAGTCCATTGTTAGGGTTTACATACCCTTTAATGCAATTATTATTATTATTATTATTATCATAATATAGGATTTATATAGCGCAGTAGTTTGTGCAGTGCTTTACAATATAAGGAAGACATTACAGTTACCATACAAAACAAGACAAGATGGTAAGGGGGGCCCTGCCCCTGAGGGCTTACAATCTAAAAGGCAGGGGCAAGTGATACATGAGGTGGTAGCTGTGCGTGAATTAATTGTTTGAGAAAGTGATAGTTCAGTGTTTAGGTTGAGGCGGGATAAGTTTCCCTGAAGAGATGAATCTTCAGGGAGCGCCTAAAGGCAGACAGTGTAGGAGATAGCTGGACAAGTTGGAGTAGAGAGTTCCAGAGAACGGGAGAGACTCTAGAAGAGTCCTGGAGGTGAGCATGGGAGGAGTTAACAAGGGTGCTAGAGAGCAGGAGCTAAATGTTAAATATTAAAATGTATTTGGCTTAACTAATAAAACATATTTGTATTTGACCGTGAGAAAACATATGGGAAACAGAAAGATAGCAAGAGATAAAGGTAGGAATAAAAATAGAAGACACCAATGAGGAACAGGGAGAGAGAAACGGGAAAGAGAGGGTGGGAAAAAAAAGAGTGGGAGAGAGAGAGAGAAAGAGAGAGGGGGGGGGGAATCTGCCTGCATGGTGTGATATGTTCATTAGAGACTGGTAATCCACCGATTTCTAAGTTTTGTGTTAAAACTTTCTGGGTAATATTTTTTATAGACAGCAGAGATCATATGTAAAGCCCGTTTTATAAGAATGTATTTATTTTTCCCAGTGTCATCATGAACGCCTCTAGATCTGGCTTTCAGCCAAGCCTCCAGGTATGGGTCAGGAATGGCAGTCTGGAGAACCCTCGCAAGTTTTACAATCAGGACTTCAATTCCCTGAGAGACTGTCACCTGAAGAAGGGAACTCTGTTTGTTGATGACGCCTTTCCCGCTAACCTCAACAGCATCGGATCTGGAAAGGACCTCGATATCAACACAAGGAAAATAGTGTGGAGGAGGCCAAAGGAAATTGTATAGTATCATATATATAGATATATTACTCAGGTTTTTATACTTGCTACTTTGTACCAACAAGTGGCACAGCATGACTACTTTATTTAAACTGTGCAACTGTAAAACAGGTTCCCAAAGAATACCCATGGGCAAGAACAATTACTTTTTTTTTGCCTGTACATTGGATTGGAGGATGGAAGCATAGCTGTGTCTTATTCACTAAGCTAAGGGGAAATTTCCATGCAAGGTGAAAATTCCAAATTCACTAAGGGGTCTCTTCACGAAGCTGCCGAAGGATCTAGCCGTAGCTTCGCCCGATCCTTCGGCTAGCTTCGGCCCCAGGACCCCTTCGGTTCAGTAGAATTCACAATAGCCCGTACAGCTCCCGTACGTGGCCGAGCGGCTCAGTCGAGCCGAACGCATATGCATCGGCTCGGCCACTTGCAGAAAGATCAGCGTCCCTGGTTACCTGCTAACCAGGAACACTGATCTCCAAACAGCAAACTCTCCCTGGCGCCCCCGGGAGTCTCCTGCTCCCGGCCGCCAAGGAGAGAAACACTGCTGTTTCTTTTTTTTTCTTTATTCTGACACGGAGCGATGTCAAAATAGAAAAAAAAAAAAAAAATGTCCCATTGGAATGCATTGCTACATTGCTATTGGCTATTTCAATTTGCAATAGCCAATAGTAAACTAGCATTGTACCCGCCCTCTGCTGCAGTTCTCCATCAGGTTCATCAGCAGAGGGCTGGTACAATGCTAGTTTACTATTGGCTATTGCAAATTGAAATAGCCAATAGGAATGTAGCAATGCATTCCTATGGGACATTTTCTTTTTCTATTCTGACATCGCTCCGTGTCAGAATAAAGAAAAAAAAAGAAACAGCAGTGTTTCTCTCCTGGGCAGCCGGGAGCGGGAGGCTCCTAGAGCGCCCGGGAGAGTTGTTTTTTTTTCGGGTTTTTTTTACAGCAGCAGAGCCGCCGGACAATAGGAAACTATTGGGTGGAGCTAGCTGTCACTGCTAGCTCCGATATAAGACCCGTAAGTGAACGTTTTATTTTACTCTAGTAAATCAACCCCAAAAAATCAAATGAAGGGGCTACTTGTGATTTGTAGCTTTTGCCTGGTCAATGAAAACCTGAAAAGTTAATTCAAGACCTTTCAAGAATTAATTGATGTACACTGTATGACCATAAGTATGTGGACACTCATCCAGTTTAGGTGTTTCTAGTGAAGGGTACTGTTAATGCTACAACATACAAAGGCATTTTAGAAAATTGTGCACTTTAAACCTTGTGACAATAGCTTGGGGAGGACCCTATTTTGTTCCAACCTGACTGTGGACACAAAACCAGGTCCACAAAGGCATGGTTTGACCAGTTGATGTTGAAGAACTTAAGTGGACTGCATATATCTGTGACTCTAACTCTACTGAACACTGCTGATTATTAATTGTGAGCTAGGTCTTGTAGTCCAACATCAGTGCATGACCTCGCAAATGCTCTTGGGCACAAATTTGCACTGATGCACTCCAATACCTTCTGGAAATCCTTCCCAAAAGAATGGAGGCTGCCACATAAGGTGAGCCAACTCCATATTAATGCCCATGGCTTTTAAATATGATTTCCAACAAGCCCATAAAAGTGTGGCGGTCAGGTGTCCACAAAAATTTGGCCCTATAGTGTATGACAAGTTATCATAGAGGCACTCACATTACATTTATTACATTTGGTATTTTCATAGACACAATAATAATAAACAAATATGAAAACATTTTGTGGTTGACACGGCTAGAAACTAACAAATACATTTGGCCAAAAACAGTTATAAAAATGAAGACAGAGTACAGCACTTATTACTTTGCAATACAAAATATTACATAAGAGAATATACAAATGTAGGACAATAGGACAAATGTATTGAAGATTGAAATGCCAGTGTGCATTTTCTTGTCTATTAGGGCTTTCATTGTGGTCTGATCTTCTTCTAGAATTATTAGGTTTGGTATTAGATACTTGCGGCTGTGTGTGATTAATAGGTTGTACTGTTTGGGCTTCCTGAGCCATTTCGTTCCCTTCGGTGTTTGCAGTTTATTCCACGACATCTATCTGAAGTTTAAACTGATTAATCTCTGCAGTGGGGAAACGTCCCTGTTAAATTTTATGTTGGTACTTCTTAAACTTTGAACAAATACCTTGAAGGGCGTAAAGCATTCAAAGATGAAATGTGCTTCAGTGTTTACATATAAATCAAAAGTTTGTGTATTAACAAACAGCAAATGATTACAGGATAAGTATAATAACACAACATACACAGTAAATAATGTGAAAAGTTTAGTAGATAAAAGGTTCATTGGTTGTATGTTGGTATCATTATATAGTACAGAACAGATATATGCAGTTCACATTGTAATTTGAATCTCTTTATCCAATAGCCAGCAGAAGGATGCTTGGCTGGACTACCTTTCCCTGCACTGTAAAATGTAACATGTTTTCAATGAATTGCTAAAAAAATCATTTAAATCAAATAATATCCCAAATGCAAAAAATACAAAAATACAGTCACTCCTCGGGTTACGATGGGGTTACGTTTTGGAGAATTCATCGTAAAGCGAAAATATTACAAACCAAGGAGTTTACTGGTGTACTGTACTGCCACGGTCGGCAGCAGATAGTACACAATGGGAATCAAGACTGCTATTGGCTATTTTAAATTGCAATAGCCAAGAGCAGATTGGCTAGTGAATCCCTGCCCACAAAGAGGAGGAGTGAGCCGGAGAGAGAAAGTTCTCTCTCAGGTCCGCTCCTCTGCTCAGTGGGCAGGTGAAATAGCCAGCCTGCTATTGGCTATTACAATTTGAAAAAGCCAATAGCAGGCTTGCTATATTTCCCCATTGTTTACATTCTGCTGCTGACCGCGGAATCTAGTCGCCGGCCAGCAGCATGAATTTTGTTGGCAACTAAATAAATGTAGATGCTAACTAGGGATGCTACGATACCAAGTACCGTACTCGTACAGATACTTTTCGAGGTCCAAGACTAGACTAGAGAAAAATTAAAAAGTTAGGAGGCAGCTGTCATGTGTAAGGAGTACACGGAGCTCCCGGGATTTGTACATCTCTGTTGTAATGTATGATTTTGTTTTTATAAATATAAATAAAGGGATGCACCGATACCATTCATGCGAGTACAAGTACTGATAAGTACTCACAGATACAAGTACTGATACTTGCCCAAGTCCTCACATACAATCAATGATACATTTTTGTTTAGTGTCATGTGACAGTTTTTCTAAAACAATACAGACTAATGGTTTCATCACAGTGGTGGAGCGCCAGAGCCAGGTCCCAGCTACAACCGCTGCAACCCTGGTAGTTCTCATGAAAATGCCAAGTATCGGCACTGGTATCTGAAAAGTATCTGTGCATCCCTAATGCTAACAATTGTTTTAGTGTGCGCCAAGCAACCAGCTATTTTTTTCTGTGCATAAAGCCACCGTAAAAAAAAATGTAGGACATACGTCCTCAATTTATTTTTGCCGGTTGCTTGAATGCCGGATAATGGGGAGTTTACTGTAATTTGCTGGGCAATGTATGTTTGTTTGATCTGGATTTAATATTGAACAGATTGAAAGTTGAAAATTACTTTAACAATTACCAACAACTAAAATTTCAACTTTTACTGTATTGACTCTTCTAAGCTCAGTCGTTGCTCTTTATTCATGTATTCGGATCTCTAAATTACTTCACATGTTGTTTTCTCTTCATCACACAGGAAACACACGGCAAAAAGCCGCATTTGGTAGTTGAAGGCACGAGCTTATTTGACATTTTACAGAGTAAGCGACTAGGTAAGGTTAAACCTCGGCTGTAGAGGGTGCTATACTTGAATAGAAGGGTGTTGTCTGCTATATGGTGACATCTCTGCTACGAGTGGATGAGGTTGTCCTTTTATCCTCTCCTTGCTTTAAACTGCAACTCGCTCTTGATGGGTTGGCTGCTGTGGGTGAAGTGTGTAGAAGTGAATATCATGTACTCTGAATGTTGGGCTATATGAAAGAAATCCTGATGAACCCTTATATTTGTGTATATGTATTTATTATGGGAAGAGATGTAATTTTAGTTTGCTATGTCAATAATAGAAAAGTTAGGCTAGTATTGAATACAGTACAACTGATAATAATTAAGCTCTGGTTATGGTAAGGAGGTTGATTTTACAGCATGTTAAGTATAAGTATAGGTTATATAAGGTTGAGTGTAGGTTTAAGGGTCAAGATATATTGGATTTTTTTTATTTATTTTTTGGAAGTGATAAATTAGCATTCTAGATGTAATACATAAGTGTTGGAAGTGGTTCACCCAAAACAACCAATATTATAAGACCAGAGATGAATTAATTGCTCAGGGCACACCAGTGGGATTATATTTCCCAGCTGATCTGGGAACACTTTGGAATTCAATAAGACATGTTGGATGGGATTTTGGACCAATCAGCTCCTCATGCTTCCCCCCTCACCTCTCTGCAGGAGTAATGCTAGCCTTACATGGCCTGCTGAATGAGATTTGGGCCATAGGTGGCCCTGTCAGAACTGGCAAACATACAAAATCAAAGGAGCTGGCTGACCAATGACACATCCAGGGAAGTCCCTGTAATGAGGCAGCCTGAAGCTGTTGCCTCAGGCAGCATTTCTTTGTGTCAGGTTGCTAAGAGCCAGGCAAGGAGATGTGTAAGGGCATAGTTAACAAGATAACACACATCTCCCCGTTCAGCTCTTAGCATCGTGGGAAACTCTGGCCAGCATCTTGTCTATCAGTGATGCCATTGGTTGCCAGGAGTTACAAACCATGTATCTAAAATTTAGGATGACTGTGCACTTGACATGGGTACTAGTCTGTACTTGTGATTTACAGGTGACTGTTGGTTCCTCTGTGCAATGGGGGCTCTCACGCTAAAGCCAAACTTACTGAAGAACGTCATGCCAGGAAATCAAGAGTACGACGCAAATTATGCTGGAATCTTTCATTTCAGGGTAAGATATAAAACCATTATTAGTTGGATCTAGGGATCTTATGTGTCACAAATTGAGGTGAGATTTGTTTAACTGTATCGGTCATTTTGTAATAGCCACATTGCAGTAAAGAAGGAAATTAAAGAAAAGGTTTTTTTAAACTTTTTAAATAGAATTTTCTTCCCCTTTTTTCCATAATGTGTTACATATCAGTGCTGCCGATCTCTTGCAGTCTCTTTGCAGCCAATCCATGTCTACATGCACTCCAGCAATGTCTTCTTTGCTTTCTTAAGGGCAGGATTCCTGATGGGGAGAACAGTGGACCATTCCATGTAATGTGTGCTGAAACGGCCACTTGTAGTCCTCATCAGGAGTCCAAGTGACAATTGGACAAGCCCAAGTGACAATTGGGAAACATGGATGTAGTGTTTTCACTGTAACAGGTAGTGCCTAGACAAGGACTTTCCCGTCATGTTCACCAGGGGTTAAAAGATTGAAAACAACATTTGGAATTACATGTCAAAGTCTATTTATGATCTTAGTGATTGGGTTTAGATCAGTGTTATATCGTTTGCAAAAGGTTTAGTATTCTATTTGTTAAAATTATTTTAAAAAATCTTTTTGTTTTAGTTATGGCACCTCGGCGAGTGGGTGGACATTGTCATAGACGATATGCTGCCATTTTTGAATGGAGAGTTCCTATACGTTCAACCATCCTCCGCCAATGAATTCTGGCCTTGTCTTTTGGAAAAAGCCTATGCAAAGTAATTGGTTTTGTTTTTTTACGACCTTTAGCCAAAGTTGGGTCACTTGTTCTCATTGTTTTAGCTAAGCAGTTAAGATTATCCAGATAAGATGGGATTCACAATATGTCTTAAAGTGACACTAAACTCAGGAGCTGAATCCTAAAAATGGATTCAAGTACCTTAACTATTAACAAAAATGTATCTTATTTGTGTATCACTCGGCTGTTGATCCTCAAATCATCTCTGAATTGGTGCTGACACTGTCCTTCCTTCTGGAGGGTGACTACTTTTGTTCCCCTTGGTCCCTGTGTGTGTTGTAAAGTAGTCACCGCTCCAAGCTCACCCCCGTGATGGACTACAATCTCACATTTAGGTATCTGATTTACATTGAGATTGTAGTCCATCGTGGGAGCGAGCTTGGGGCTCCTCAATTCAGTCTCAATGACAGTAATCACCAGAATAAATAGGTGAAGAAGGTGAATCTCCCTAATGGGGACAAAGACAACAATAAAAACCTGACAAGGGTTCTAACTCCTCATCACCCTATCCTAAGCAAATAAAAAAAGTTTTGGTTACATTTTAAGTACCACCTGGGAACAATGACACACTGACCCATGAAATCTTACAAAACAACGCACAGGGGATGATTTACTAAAGGCATTAAGGCTCTACACCTTGCAAGGGAATTTTCCCTTAACATAGTGAATGTAGTGAGAATTCACTGTACAAAGAATACCCAATCATGTACAAGGAAAAAAAAGAATAATTTGTGCTTGTACAAGATTGAATGATGGAAGTCATCAGAGGCTCACCTAATTTACCAAGGTAAGGGAACAGTCCCTTGCATAGTGAACATTCTGTTTGTCTTTAGTAAATCAACCCCACTGACACAACTGGGGTTGCAGAACAATTATACACTGACGCTTGGGGTCTCCTCACAATGACTCACTGACATTTGGGGGTCCGGAACAATTACATACTGACACTGGGGGTCTCAGAACAATGACACACTGACACCTGAGGGTCCAGAGCAAATACACAGTGACACTTGGGGATCCAGAACAATGGCACACTGACACTTGGGAGTCCAGAACAATGACATACTGACACTTGGGAATCCAGAGCAAATACACAATGACACTTGGGAGTCCAGAACAATTACACACTGACACATGGGGTTCCAGAAGCAGGGCCGGCCTTTGGGGTGTTCGAGCTGTGCGGCCGCACAGGGCGCCATGACAACAAGGGCGCCAGGTGGCCGACACAGCTCGCCCTTGGGGCGGCTACAGCCTGCGGCTTCTCAACTCCTCATGTCAAGTTTAAGATGACAGCGGTTCTGTGTGGCTCATTGATATTTACTGATCTCTGTGCAGAGCAAACACTGGCGTGTTCGTCTGATCAGTCAGGTGTTTGTAAATAACTGGGGACACATAGTACTATGCGTCCCCAGTTATAAATGAACAGGATGTGATTTACATCACTTCCTGTTCATTCATGATTTTATGAATGGGGAGTAGCACTCAGTACAGAGGCTTTTCCCCATTCATAAACTGCTTTTTACTATCATTAATTTCTGAATGAATGGGAAGCCTCTGTACTGAGTGCTTCCCATTAATTTAGAACAGAGGCTGCAGAAAAAGAAACTGAGGTCTCTGTGCCCTCAATTTCTTTTTCTATTTTAAAAGGTAAATGTCAGGGGTCTGTTTAGACCTCTGATATTTCCCCCCAAAAAAATGAAAATAAAAAATAATAAAAAAAATTTAAAGAATTATTTTTAAAAAGTGAAAAGTATCCCCCCCACACACACGTATTATTAGACATGTGCAAAGACTAAAAATGTCATTAGTTTCATCAAACAAAACAAATTTTTATGCTATTTTGGATTCAGCCACTGTTCTGGAGGCAGGGCGCAAGACATCATATAACACCGCACGTGTTGGGCGCCGCCATCTTGGTGTATATCCAGGTATACACCAAGATGGCAGTGCCTCTATCGGCGTGTGACTTCACCTGACGCCGCGCAAGCATGGCATCATGTGACGTCATGCTCCCCGCCTCCAAGATGGTGGCACGTATTTGCAGAATGTGCCGGTGGCCAACATGGCTGCCGCGCATTCTTAAACAAATTATTATGTGCCGGAATAAATTTTTTGCATCTTCGAGCAAATAGTAATTCATAAATTTTACATGTAGTCTAGGTTTTGTGTTCTGTTTTTTATTTTTACTTTTCTAGATACACTTACTTGAAATAAGGGTCGGCATGACAACCTGACACTTTATTTTTATAGACTCTATTTTAGTTTGACATGTATTGTTTTCCACTTGTTTGCCTTCTGTTGTTTTATTTAATAAGAATACTAATATTGTGCCTACAAGTTTAATAGCTTTGAATAAAAGTTTTATTTTTATCATACTGTTTAATATATTTCTTTGGGTCTTAACAAAATGGGAGTCTTTAAATGATGCGGATATTGGAGAAATGGGTGTGGCCACTGAGGGGTGTGGTAACGGAGGGGTGTGGTAAAGGAGGGGTGTGGTTACTGAGGTGCGCTTTAAAGCTTTCTCGCACAGGGCGCCTAAAGGCCTAAGGCCGGCCATGTCCAGAAGAATGACTCCCTTTAATTTGGGGGTCCAGAACAATTACTCACTGACACTTGAGGTCCCAAAACAATGACACACTAAGGGGTCTATTCACGAAGCTGCCGAGGGCAGCCGAGTGAATGAACGATCTGAAGTGAAGTGAGCCGAACAATGTTCGGCTATTCACTTCAGGCTGGCACGGCTGATCTCAGGGTCCCTGAATAGTGACACCCTGACACTAGAGGGTTCCAAAACAGCGACACATTGATATGCTAAACCTATTAAATAATAATAATAACATTTGTTTGTTTTTTTTGCATTTTAGACTTTTGGGTTCATACCAAAACTTGCATTGGGGGTTCCCTGAGGAAGCCTTTGTGAACCTGACAGGTGGGATAACTATGACATTTGATCTCAAGAGCGTGCAATTACAACGGAATTACTTCTGGCAAATGATCAGCAAAGCGAGTCCGGACACAGTGATGGCCTGTGTCAATGGCAAACAGGTACTGCTGTCATAATGATATGGTTCTACATTATACTGATATACAGAGAAATCATTCATAAAGTTGGCCATACCCCTAGAGATTATCTGCAGATTTTCTATGGTCAGATGAAAAAAGTGCAACTGATTCCTCCATCTACGCCAAACGGTGTGGATGGAGGAATCTCCCGCTGGGCCGAGCTTCAGTATCTTGGTAGTCGGCCCGGTACATCTGCTGGCTTCGGTTCAGCCGAACATGCTCAGTATGTTCGGCTGAGCTGAAGTAAAGAACACGTTCGACTGCATGATTTTATCTTGGGCCCCCCTCCCAAGACGGGGAGGGGGGGGGGGCGGGGGCCGGTCACACTGGCCCCCGCTCCCCCCCCCCCGGTCTCTAATGTTGCAGTAGCATGCTGGACTTACCTGAGACCCTGCAGAGCACACCATAGATCCTGTATAGCCCACCTGAGACTCTCTATGGTGGGCTCTGCAGGGTCCCAGGTGGGCTGGTCTGGTCGTCGGGATGCTGCCTCGGTACAGTTGATACCCATGTAAGAGGCCCCCCAGACCTCTCACATGGGTACCGGCTATACCCCTCTGATGGCGGTGTTCTATCAAAGGTTGTGACTACGTTAAAATGTGTGACCGGTGACGTGGTCACACGTTTTAACGTAATCCCGCCCAGTTTTTCGGCGGTGGAATGTGTGACCACCAATAGGTGAAGCATTCCAGCGCTTTCCCAGCTGTTCCAGGGCAGATTGGCATCGCAAATCGCATGTGCAGGAGAACCGATCTGCCCTGAAACAGCTGATCGGTCCTGAAATGTCACTTCTCTCCGACTGCGATCTCACATTCCACCGCACTCACAAAGTCGGATAGAAGTGACATTTCAGGACCGATCAGTTTTTTCAGGGCAGATCGGTTCTCCTGCACAGCGGAGAAAGCGTTGGAATGCTTCACCTATTCCACCACCGAAAAACTGGGCGAGATTACGTTAAAATGTGTGACCACGTAGTCTCAAACTTTGATAGAACAGAGGCCTACCTGTAATAATTTAATTTAATCAGAGAAATAGATTATAATAGGGAACATTACAGTGTAATATTCCCCATTATAATCCATTTGTCTAATTACAAGAAAAAATCTTGTCCCTGTGCCGATAGGGACAAGGGACTCTTCCCCACAAGCCCTGATCCGGTGGTTGTGTGGGGCCTGTGGGCAGGGGGGCTTATTTGCACCCAGATGCTGCCCCTCCCTTGTGAATGATACTTAAATAATTGATCCAACTAACTTATCCACTTCAATCACGGTGTTCAGCATTGTGAACAACAACCACTCACCGAAATTGTAAAAAAATGTCAGATGCCCGCTGACCCGCCCGCACCGGCGAAAACACACACCACAAAATGACCTGTATTAAAGTAAACAAATGGATGGAGCTAGCGGTGACAACAGGGTCGGCCAAATCAAAACAACTGGGACTGTTCTCCCTGCTTCGGCTATGACTTCAACCCTTCGGCTGCTGCACGCACTATTGTGAATAGCCTGTACAGCAGCCCTTCAGTTTGGCTGAACCGAAGTGAGCTGAAGAATTAGCCATTGCTTCTTCTTAATCCTTCGGCTCCTTCGTGAATAACCCTCTAACACAACTTCTTCAAAGGCTCTTGTATCTTAGCCTAGGCTAGAAGATTGTTATTATGCTTCATGAAAATTGATAACAAAATACAGCAGAGTGGGTAAACCAGGCAGATGGGGAAAGCAAGAGTTCACTTTAGGGAAGAGAAGGTGGCTACATTCTACAAAGAATTTCGGTAAATTCCATGAGGAGTCTTTATAGCAAGTAAATAAAATTTACCCATATCAGACCAGTTTCCATACTTGAGTCTCATTGTAACCTTTTGATTAACAGGAGGGAGCATCAAGGAACCGAAGTATGAGCGTGCCAGTGGTGGTGAGAACTGTTTATCTTAATACTATAACTCTTTAGATTTCTTTGACATGCAAACCAATACAAAGAGTATCCCATGAGATATTCTTTCTGATAATTGTTGGATATTTACATCACATGACGGTTTCTTGTATCTCTCGGGGGCTCCATTGGAATGATCAGCAGGGGAGCTGGTATGAGTCTAAAAGATGGGTGGGAATCTTGTTCAATGTGGCCTGCACAGTAACTCATAGACATAATTGGGGCCAAACTCCAACCATATGAGTACAGCCATATTTAGGTCTACGGGGAGGCACTGCGCAGATGTAGGATGTACCGGACAAGATGTCAGGATAAACCCTGTTAACATTGGAGGAGGCGGTTGGGAAGAAGCAAGTAAATAATTGGGTTGAGGTTTATATTAGGTTAGTGGAGGGCTGTCCCTAGGAGTCCCTAGGGTATCTGCCATCTGAGGCGATTGTCATTCTGGGGGGTTGGGGGGGGGATGCTGGCAGGGAATGGCCCTTCCCTGGGGGGGATAATGTTGCACAGAGTTCGGGTGGGGTAGTTTGGCGGTGTCTGTCATCCCACCCAGCTCACGTGGCTGGGCATCACCAGTTCCGTGGAGCTCAGTGGGACGCAAGCCAGGCATCCTGATTATCCCCTGGCAACCGGTGGTGTTGGTGAGCTGGCCCAGAAGCCACACAGAGCTTCACAGATTGCTAAGATTTCTTAGCAAACAGTATATGACAAAAGCGCCAACGACTTGTGTCCAAAACCGGAGAATGACTGCAATGATCTCAAGCAAAACCGCAGATGGGAAAGATTTCTTAGCAACCTGGGACAGTGTGGCCATCCCAATGCAGCCCCACCACCACCCGGCCACCCCCAAATGAGACACCTCCTGTGGCAACCGCCTCAGGCTGCCTCATTATAGGATGACCTTGGATTAGGGGGTCTAGAGAGGGGGTAGAAGTTTTTTTTTTTACAAACAGTACCTAGTCCATTTGGAATTTTAGGACTCAGAATGGTTGAAGTAGGAAAACTGTCACTGATGTTACCACCATAGCACCTAAGATGAGAATCTCATTTGTGGAATGGCCTATCCCCTAATTGTCTCATATTTGCTGATTTTCCATATACTTTAGTGTACATAAGGATATTTTAATGCTCAACTCCTGACATTTTATTATTATTAATATTTATTATTTATTATTATAAATAAATACAATTATAACTGCTGTCGAGTTCCAATTACTGCCCATGTCTTTATTTGAGAGGGACAGGCCAGCAAATTATGGTTAAGGTTCTAACCTTTTCTCACTCTACTAAAAATGTTTTTGTTGGTGTTTGTGTCCTTTTTGGAAGATATTCCATCACTTCCTAGTTCTGACTCCTGTCACCAGAATAGGCTGCAGGGAAATCCAAGTGGGAGTGGCCTTTCCTGGTTGCGGGAGGGGGCGTGGCGGTGCGTGCGACAGCCGAACGGGAACGTGTGGCACATCAGGGCCTGCATTCCGGTCCGGTGCAGTCAGAAAAAATAATGCACGCAATGCAGATCCAGGGCGTTCCGGCCAAAATCGGGAACAAGCCCTTTTCGCTCTTTGGCTTCTCTGACATGTATCTGGAATGAATACAAAGTAACAGAATATTGTTACATAATTAAATAATAAAAGAAGCTGAGAGATCTGTGTTATTCTGTAACAGCTTCTGCTTCTTTGCTGACATTCCAATCCCAAATGTAAAGAATCTAGCAGCTGTCACAAAATACACAAAAGTGTTTTAACTGTTCACAGAAATAATAATTAAAAAACAGAGTGCACTACCCGGCAATTAATACCAGGCCCTTTAGGTGTGGTATGAATTGTAAGGGAAACCCCAACACCAAAAAAACAAAATAAACCGTGTGGTCCCGCCCAAACTCCCATATCAGGTTCCTAATCGGGACAGCAGCCTTGCAGGGCAGGAAAGGGGGGGACGAGCAAGTGCCTCCCTCCACCATACCAAGCCACATGTCCTTGGAATTGGGAGGGTGCTTTTCCGGGGGGACCCCACGAAAAAGCACCTTGTCCCCATGCCGATGAGGACAACGACCTCTTCCCCACCACCCTGACCCGGTGGTTGTGGGAGTCTGCAGGCTGGGAGGCTCAGATGCCACCCCCCTCATCCTTGTGAATGAGTAAGGGGTACTTGAACCCCTACTCATTCACTAAAATTTTACATAAAATTTAAATAAACACACCACACCTTAGAACAAATTCCGTTAATTGAAGAAAAAACACCACACAAGTTTTTGACAATTCCTTTATTTAAAAAAAAAAAATCAAATGTCCCATGAAGTCATTCCAGCGTTGGCCGACAAATAATAATAATAAAAAAAACTCCCCGATGCAATGTTCACATAGGGCAGTGGGCGGAAATAAACAAAACCTGCTATTGGCTATTTAAAATTGAACTAGCCAATAGCAGGCTGGCTAATGCACCCGCCACTGCCTGATGTCAGTCACAGAAGAGCAGACCTATAAGCGATAGTTCCGCTCTTTTGTTACTCTGCAAGGGTTAATAAAATGTCCTCTCTGAGTTGCTCCTTAAAGTGACATTAAACCCTCAGATTTTTTAACATAAACCAATATTGTAATGTGCGCCTTACTGTAATCCATGGTTGTTTCCCTTCTCTTTGCTGCTCTTCCTTTTAAATCCTCATGTCTTCTCATGCTTGGGGAGAACTTCCCTTTGCAGCTGAGTGCCTCTTCCTGTAGTGCTGGCTCAGGTTGTGAACCTTCACACAGACACCATGTATCCATTTCAGAGACAATGCAGTCTGCTGCAAAACAGAAGTTCTGCCCAGCATGAGAACAGATACAGATTTAAAAGGAAGAGCAGCAAAGAGAAGGGAAACAACCATGGATTACAGTAAGGCGCACATTACAGTATTGGTTTATGTTCAAAAATCTGAGGGTTTAATGTCACTTTAAGTAAGTTGTGCAGCTTGTGTAGATGGTTATATACTGTAAATCTACCTTTTAGTAAAATCCTGCAATATTTTTCTTCTTTAACAGAAAGAAGCTCTTGACTTCCGGAGGGCAAGTGTACCGATCACTGTAAGTAACATTTACTTTTTATTTCCCAGAAATGTTGTCATTCAGAGCTCTCAGCATACAAACTATTAGCTGTAAGAATCTTGGTTTTCAGGTTCAGAAAGGCTGTGAGTGCCTCTTCAATGTTCAACCGCAGGTGCTTCACATATGAAAAACGAAGCTGCTCTACATAAAATAGCTTTTTATATTATATCTTGTGGTTTGTAGTTATATTCGCATTAAAGGGAAAAGGGAATAGGAAAAAAAATAAAAATAAATAAAAGTATCTATATATCTATAGATATATAGATATTTTTAAATTATATAAAGATATTTTTATGCTATTAAAAAATGCTCTGCAAAGAAAAAAATTATTACCTGTCCCATCACTCTCATGAAAAGCTGAGCCTTCTGAAAATGTTCAGCATCTGATGCACTTTTGGATGTGCCGGATGTTTTCTTCTCCTCTGTGTGACTTGGTTCCATCTCACAGCCCCTATGACTCTGGTGTGTCTTGCTAGTGGATGAAACCAATGCATGTGGTGGGGGTCCGTGTATCCAGCACATCTGGAAGTGCTACAGATTCATCTGGAAGCCGCCCCTCCACTAGTAAATGGCTCGGAAGCCAGCTCTATGCTCCCTGGTGACGAGAAAGCATGGAACCAGCTTCCCGGCCTGATACTGGAAGTTCCGGTATCGGGATAAGTATTGGGAGCATTTGGGCGAGTACTCACCTAAATACTCGGTATCAGCACAGATACTAGTATCGGTACCGGTGCATCCCTAATAATTACAGTATATGTAACAAAAATGGCCCAATCTAAGCTTAAAATATAAATCATTCTGGAAGTTCTACTTTGAAAGCCCAACAGAAGTTTTATAACTTCCCCACCCTACCCAATACTACAAAAAAAAAATACAAATTTGGGAGCTGTGTTTAAGTCGAGAGCAGAAGGTGAGTCTTGGAGACCCTGCTTCATATTTTGCACTGGGCCAGGTATGTCTTCTGTGCCACTACAGCATCCACCCTATACAACTTTGGGTGGAGTTGGCCTTTATTTATCTAATCACTGCTCTTTCTTTAGCATATTGCAGAAAATCCAGTTCTCATTAACGGTCTGGTGCAGTCTCATGCATATTGCATAACGGACACTACACAGGTGAGTAGCTAAACATTCTTTTATTTTAAATAAAGAGGTGAAGTGGGAAATAGTTATTATCAGTGAAGGGGCAATGTTCCAACTTGTTCCTATGTAAAGTTTGTAATTATAAATGTACAGGGCCGTCCCTGTAATAAGGCAGCTTGAGGATGTTGCCTCAGAAGGCATCTCTTTAGAGCATGTGGAGGGGCGGCAGGCCGAGCAGCATGGCCGCTCTGCTGCACAATGTTTGCAGGAAGCCTGCTGCCTCCTTTCCAGCCAGAGCATCCCAGGTGCTAAGAGATGGATGGGGAGATGTGTAAGGGCCATACACATCTCCCTGCTCAGCTCTTAGCAACCTAGGAAGTTCTGGCCGGCGTACCGTGCAGCTCCTGGCAACCAGTGATGGAATGCTGAGACGGGCAGGGAAGGCAGGTATATGAAGGGGAAGACAGCCATATTTGCTCATTATATGCCAACTCTGATTCAGCATTAATGCACATGGCCTGTGCTACACTCTTGGTGCAAGCCTATGATTTAGATATGACCTAATTAAAAACGACAGACCGGCTCAGAGTCTGAGCTCATCTCAGCAGCCCTTAAACTCAACCTTTCACAGATTTCCAATGGAGTCTGTGCTGAAAATACATTACCATTAATTACTGTCAGCAAAAACTGGATGCCCAAAAAATCAGCAGGTCCAGAAACACAGGCAGTTCAATATCAATGGAGTGTTCAACCATGGACCCGCTGGCCACCATCTCTCATAGCTCCCTATTGGTCAGTGAGGATGACTGACATATTAAGGGGGTTATTCACTAAAGAGCCGAAGGATCCAGCCATAGCTTCGGCTGACCCTTCGGCTCTCTTCGGCCGCCTCTGCCCTTCGTTTCAGTGGAACCGAAGGGCTGCTGTACGGACTATTCCCAATATAATCTCACGGCTCGCCCCGCCCTGTTGTAATGACAGATCAGCATCCCCAAATGACCTGGGGATGCTGATCTGTCTTTAAACAATAACAAATGGGGCGGAGCCAGCCGTGACAACATGGCCGGCTCCGCCCAGTTGTTGTTTATTGGCCGGGACCTGCTAGAAGACTCTGGCAGGTGCCGACCAATAGGAAACAGTTGAGCGGAGCTAGCTGTCACTGCTAGCTCCGCCCAATTGTTTTTCTTTTGCCTGCATATTTGCCGGCATTTTTAATTTTCTTCTTTTTTTTTCTTCTTTTCTTTAAACTATTTTTTTTAAAATTTCCTATTTTCTTAAATTTGTAAAATTATTTTTCAACTTTTTTTTTTTTTATTCATTTCACTTATTTATTGTTCATTGAGGTACTGAGCAGAATAGACGAGCCAAATGCCGCTCGGTGGCATTAGGCTATTCACTTACTGCCGTTTGGACCCTATGAGAATAGGGGCGAATGGCAGAGAGATGCTGGATCGGCAGAGTTGCACACCTTCTGCACTTCGGATAAGCCGATCATCCAGAGCACGTTCGGCTGACCGAAGGCGGCCGATGTGCGGCTGATTTTAGCCGATGTACAGCTGAAATCAGCCGTACAAGACAGAAGTGAATAGCCGAACAGCGTTTGTCTCACTTGACTTCGGCTGGGTTATTCACTCTGCCGCCTTCGGCAGCTTTGTGAATAATCCCCTAAGAGACCAATAGGAAAGCTTTACAGGAGCAGGTGCCCCTACCTCTGCAGAGCTCAAAATTTACAGAAGAAGTTATCATTTTTATATGACTTGGGGGGTTGATATTTTTACATCTTCTCAGCTTTTTGACATTCTGTTTTCACAGAAAGTAAAACGTTTTGTTTTTTTCTTTTAATATTCACAGTTTTTATTCATCAGAAACACACAAAAATCCTCATACACAATGCAAACATTGCTAAACCCTACACACATAGCATGCATAGCTGTCTCCAAAATTCCATTATGCTAGAATATAATGGCTTTTACAAATCAATGCTCTATAGGTTGAACTCAATGGACTTTCAACCTGACTAACTATGTAACTATGCCACTATGTAATGCATTGATAAACTTTTTTAACCCACATAATGTTTTTTTCTATACATCACATGCTCCACCTTAATTGTATAGAGTGGATCTATGGGCAAACTTAAAAATAACATACTAGTTTCTTGTTTTTTTGGGGGGTTTTTTTACACTTCGGTGATTTTATTCTGTACAAACGTAAAATGACACCATGTCTATCCATGGCGAACTCAATTACTCAGAGGTGCAAACCAGTTTTTCCAGACTGGAGACATCACGCTTCTTCTTAGCAGTACAAAGCTGAAAGCAAATGCTGAATCAATACAACAAAAAGAAAAAAAAACTCAATGTAATGTTTAAGTCGTCAGCTTTATTCTCTTGCATTGATGTCTGGGCTTTGGCTCCCATTCTGGACATTGTAAGCATATATGTTTTCTCCCTGTTTATGAGTATTTCATGTCCAGATTAAATTGTCACTATGGGAAAAATCAACAATGACATATACAGTACATTGCATTCGCTGACATTAAAGTGGCATTAAAGGATAAATCCCCCTGCTGCTTTAAAGGAAAACTATGGGGTCAGGGCTAGGGATGCACAGATACTTTTCGAGTACCAGTGCAGATACTTGGCATTTTCATGAGAACTACCAGGGTTGCAGCGGTTGCAGCTGGGACCTGGCTCTGGCACTCCACCACTGTCCTGAAATCATTAGTCTGTATTGTTTTAGAAAAACTGTCGCATGACAATAAACAAAAATGTATCAGTACTCGTACATGTAAGTACTCGGCAAGTACCAGTACTCGTACTCAGTGGCGGAGCTAAGGAACAA